ATATATATATATATATATATATATATATATATATATATATATATATATATATATATATATATATATATATATATATATAACCTGTCATTTATCACTGTATATTAATTACAATGACACATTTATCAGAGATAAGTCAGTCAAAAGTAGTTTCAAACAATTTATTCATGCATCCTTTATTTGCATGTTTGTTTGTTGTGTGTCAGATGAGGCGTCAGACTTTTTAAATGAAACTGAGAATGGAATTCTTGAAAAAAGAAAAAGAAACCATGCATAGCTAGAGCTTGCAGCCTACATTGCAATGTGCTGTCCCATTTAGAACACTGATTATCCAGTCTGGTGAGGTTTGTATCTGAGGGGCTAATTCCAGATAGCAAAGTTTGGGATTTCTAAATCTGGATTATTCTGATCCACATGAAACTTTTTGAAGAACTAACTGGGCCAAGTGTATTCTTGATCAAGACACCAAAGCTCTGGTTACGCCAGGAAGATTGAATGTGAAATAAGTGAAATAAACATGTTTGAGCATCATTTTTCTTTTCTTTTAGGTGACAGATTCTAAATCTCGCCGTGGTGGGCGGAAAGGCAGCACTTCCTCCTCATCTTCCTCCTCTAGTTCTGTGGCTCCGGATCCACTCATTCTTGATGTGTATTCTTGATCAAGACACCAAAGCTCTGGTTACGCCAGGAAGATTGAATGTGAAATAAGTGAAATAAACATGTTTGAGCATCATTTTTCTTTTCTTTTAGGTGACAGATTCTAAATCTCGCCGTGGTGGGCGGAAAGGCAGCACTTCCTCCTCATCTTCCTCCTCTAGTTCTGTGGCTCCGGATCCACTCAGCTCAATGTTGTATGGAACCGACCCACTGTCTCTCTTCGCTGCGGTGTCTGAGACACCAACTCTCCCACACAGCATCTCTGCTGGGGTAAAATTCACAAAATTCAGAAACGCACTCAATTATTAGCCTACCATATGAACGTTTCAAAGGTACTTCAAAAATCTCATGGTATGAATAAATATTATTGAATTTTAATTATGTATATACGACATTTTTATTTTAATGAGCTATAACTTTAAGTATTTATGTAACTGTCATTGTTACATTATCTGTTCATGGTTAAAATTATGTGACTGTGAACACAATTATGATCCATTTATGAAACATTTGTTAAATGTGGTCTTTTTCACTTTTACTATTTTGTTTTAGGAGCTGGGACGGAAACGTGAGGAGGAAGTGGGCTCAGACTTTGAGCCGTGGTCATCTAAACGTGGAGAGATCCTGTCTAGGTTCACCACCACAGAGAAACTGTCTATAGTAGGTGCAGCGCTTTACAGCTCTCTCTCATCCTGTCAGACTTTACTTCTGACAGATTATAATGACATTTTTATTTCTTTTACAGAATCTCTTCATGGGCTCAGACAAGAGTGAGTTCATCAGTTTTTGAAGAATCTTTTCTTAATTTTTTCTTGGTTTGTAGTAGGCTTGCCGCGATAGACGGTGCTGACGGTGATACTGGTGTTAAGCCGCAACACCGGTTACGTCACTTGCCCACCGCATCACCGACCCCCACTGTCGTTTAGATTTTTTATAGTAAAAAAAATCATTTAGTTCAGTAAAAGAACAGACACTACAATTAAAAACTGAACACGGCTGCTCAGTGCAGTTGAACGACAGTTGCATCACAGATCAGATTTTGTTTCTCCAGTGAGGAGAGTGAGTCGAGCTGACTGACAAGAAGAGTGAGGCGAGACAGACAAGACGATCGCGGATGATTTAGTTTCGAAACGAAATGCAAAAGCGCCTGTTTGGCAATATTTTGGATTTTGAAAAGCCTGTTGACTTTTGCCGTTTATCTAAGGTGATTTTGGAAGTTTTTTTTAAACATTCGTTTCTTATTTAATTGGTTCTACATTGTTTGCTGATTTTTACTTTATTTAAACTTTGTGTCATTTATTTATTTTATTTGACATCAAGGTGTATGCCGTGCCTCTAAGCTTTCTTACTCATTTTGCTAATAAACGTTCTACGTTTCTTGCTTATTTGATTATATATTATACATGTTTACTTGTTTCCAGTTTTGTACATTTAAACTTTTGTACATTTAAACCCCGCGGTGATACCGGTATTACCGGTGTTGTCACAAGTCAATTAACCGGTGGGAAAATTTCCTCACCGTCACAAACCTAGTTTGTAGCTATTCCAGTTGTTGTTATTTAGCTGCTCAGGAAATGCGATCCTCCATTAAACCTCCATTACTTTTCACATTTAAAAATGTTTTATTATTATTATTATGAAAAGTAAAAACTTTGCAATCGCTTTATAAAATACTTCAATAAAATTCCATTTTTAGGCATAGCCAATAGCATGGTGTATATGTTAATAAAAGTTCTATGTTTTATATATACGCTAAAGTGAGTTTGACGTTGTATTTTGTTGTTGCATTCAAGCAATTGATGCCTAACTGCCACTAATTCGAAGTAAAATGCGCACGGCACTTTTAAGCTATTTAAAAGCGAAGGAAAGCGAGGAAAAGAGAGAAAATTACTAAAAAACAAATAAATGAACAATTGCTTTACTCCGAATTGCCGCTATTTGAAAGTGAAAGTAAAATGCGCACGCTTTTACAAGCTATTTAAAAGCGAAGGAAAGCAAGGAAAAGAGGGTACACCCACGCCCCCGCGGTGATACCGGTATTACCGGTGTTGTCACAAGTCAATTAACCGGTGGGAAAATTTCCTCACCGTCACAAACCTAGTTTGTAGCTATTCCAGTTGTTGTTATTTAGCTGCTCAGGAAATGCGATCCTCCATTAAACCTCCATTACTTTTCACATTTAAAAATGTTTTATTATTATTATTATGAAAAGTAAAAACTTTGCAATCGCTTTATAAAATACTTCAATAAAATTCCATTGTGATACATTGTTGGTCCAACCTGACCAGTGCTGATGAGTTATCCCTGATATTTCCCTGACTGTGCTGCTTCTGTGCAATGAAACTATTGAGTCTGTACAATGACTTCTATCTGAATAATGACATTGACAAACCGTAATAGACACATTTAATAGTTTGGTTTGTGTTAAGGTAAAGCATCCAGTCCCAGCTCAGCGGTGTCAGAGAAGGTGCGCACTCGTCTGGAGGAACTGGATGACCTGGAGGAGGTGGGTCTCGTCTGGAGATGTCTTGTGCTTTACTGTTTGTTGGTAGACATGTTAATGAATATGTGGTGTATTGTGTGTGCTCAGGGCTCCCAGAGGGAGCTCTTGAACCTGTCCCAGCAGGACTATGTCAACCGCATTGAAGAGCTCAACCAGTCCCTGAAGGAAGCCTGGGGTTCAGACCAGAAAGTCAAAGCCCTAAAAATCATCGTCCAGGTATGAGGACCTGTTGACACATAAACCATCAGTATACACTCAAGTGACAAATTTAAGCCAAAATCGAGTCTATTAACTTTAATAATGCACATTTCCGGTCTTGTTGTGAATTCTTCATCAAAATTTTGTGTGTCAGTGCTCCAAGCTGCTCTCTGATACGTCAGTAATTCAGTTCTACCCCAGCAAGTTTGTTCTCATTACAGATATCTTTAGCTCAGATATGTTGAAGCTGCTCTTCTGAAATGCAACCGCTTCTTGACAAAGTCGTAAGAATCTGAGCAATGCAACACTTCTGTTCATGCAGGTTGGTATTTTCATTGGTCACTGATGTCCTCTTTTCTGTCCTTCAGTGGGATTCAGGAGATGCTGCAGAGACTGACAGCGATGATCAGAGGAATAGGAGATCCACTGGTGGCTGTATACGCACGTGCGTATTTATGCAGGGTGAGAAGAAGAATATTATTTGATTATATTGTGTATTTTAGCAGGTTCTTCCTACAACTTCTACTTTTTTGTTATAACGTGGTGTTTCATGCATTTAGTGGATGATAAAACAAGCAAAAACCCTGTAGTTTCAAGCTGAAGGAGTGACCCGAGCCATATCATAGAGACTCTAGCTCTCTATCTTTTTCTCAGGTGGGGATGGAGGTGGCTCCGCATCTGAAGGACAGTCTCAATAAGAATTTCTTCGACCTGCTGGCCTCATTCCGTCAGGTTCATGGTGAAAGTGTGCAGAATCAGCTGGTGCTGCAACGGGTGGAGATTCCCATCTATCTGACCCTCTATTCTCCTGCCATACACTGGATCCTGCAGTGTGTGGCATACAGAGCGCCAGAGGTATATACGCACACTCCACTCAGAGGAAATGCTTGACTAATTGTTTAATGTTCGATTCAAGGTCAGACATGATATATTCCTACCAGACAACTTAAACTTCTGCCCATAAAGACGTTCCATTGCATGTTTGGAGGATGTGTAAGGATGACAGCACTACTATTAGCTTTGCAGATGTTTGATTGTCAACCAAAAATGTCTCAAAGTCAAAACCAAACAACAATGTGCAATGCTTGCATCTGACCTGCAGGTCTACGATTATCAACAAAGAAGATTATTGCTTTGTGTTATTATTACTGTGTTTTACAGTACATACCTGTCTATGCAGACATTTGCTATTGGCCACAGTGTTCATGTGACAGCATGTTCATTGCCGCATCTCAGCACAGTTGTACATTTATACACAAGAGTCCAAGTTGTGTTCCATTCCATTGGAAATTTTGACTTTCTGAGTTAAATGGAATGCAGTGTAACACTGGGAGCCAAGGTCTGAAATTAATGGGGCCTTGGGACAAAAATGCCAGTTTTGCGTGATCGCAAAAGTCGGTTAACTTGAAATGAACTGAAGTCACTGATCGCTTCAGTGATGGAAAACAGTCTTTTTTTCTGTATATAATTTAAACTAAGTTTGAATAACCTTTGTTTTGTTTTATTGATGCTACGATAACCAATTTGAAGTCTTGATCGTAAAAAAGCAAAAACTCATTCATAATGTTTCTCAGCTGGTTTTGTCTCTGTAGACTACAAACCCAATTCCAAAAAAGTTGGGACACTGTACATATGACATGCCATTTCCCCATGCAAAAAAAAAGTTTTGTATGTATTCTAATAATCAACAATAACAATCATTATTACAATATCAATAATAATTTTGGTAAAATCATCGTTGCAATGACTTTTTTATCTTTAGTTTGTATACTTTATGTAGGCTGTTTAAAATTACGTTAATCTCATATAATTTCTATGCATTTGTCACCTTTGAGTAACATCAAAGACTATAGAATACCCAAGACGTGTCACTCGTATAGTTTTGAATTGGGAAAAATGCAACACTCAATATGGCCGCTCTATGGAACGAAGCCCCGCCTTCTGAGCAAAAGAGCCAATCCCTAATCGGTAAAGTCAGCTCAGCGCTCAGTTCAGAAGCCTGCATCTCTGATGGTATGGGGTTGCATGAGTGCGTGTGGCATGGGCAGCTTACACATCTGGAAAGGCACCATCAATGCTGAAAGGTATATCCAAGTTCTAGAACAACATATGCTCCCATCCAGATGTTGTCTCTTTCAGGGAAGACCTTGCATTTTCCAACATGACAATGCCAGACCACATACTGCATCAATTACAACATCATGGCTGTGTAGAAGGATCCGGGTACTGAAATGGCCAGCCTGCAGTCCATATCTTTCACCCATAGAAAACATTTGGTGCATCATAAAGAGGAAGATGCGACAAAGAAGACCTAAGACATTTGAGCAACTAGAAGCCTGTATTAGACAAGAATGGGACAACATTCCTATTCCTAAACTTGAGCAACTTGTCTCCTCAGTCCCCAGATGTTTGCAGACTGTTATAAAAAGAAGAGGGGATGCCACACAGTGGTAAACATGGGCTTGTCCCAACTTTTGAGATGAGTTGATGCCATGACATTTAAAATCAACTTATTTTTCCCTTAAAATGATACATTTTCTCAGTTTAAACATTTGATATGTCATCTATGTTGTATTCTGAATAAAATATTGAAATTTGAAACTTCCACATCATTGCATTCTGTTTTTATTCACAATTTGTACAGTGTCCCAACTTTTTTGGAATCGGGTTTGTATAAGAATATGACATGCCATTTCCCCATGCAAAAAAAAAGTTTTGTATGTATTCTAATAATCAACAATAACAATCATTATTACAATATCAATAATAATTTTGGTAAAATCATCGTTGCAATGACTTTTTTATCTTTAGTTTGTATACTTTATGTAGGCTGTTTAAAATTACGTTAATCTCATATAATTTCTATGCATTTGTCACCTTTGAGTAACATCAAAGACTATAGAATACCCAAGACGTGTCACTCGTATAGTTTTGAATTGGGAAAAATGCAACACTCAATATGGCCGCTCTATGGAACGAAGCCCCGCCTTCTGAGCAAAAGAGCCAATCCCTAATCGGTAAAGTCAGCTCGTCACTGCAGCTGCCGTTAGAATTCCCGGGTTGCTATAGAAACAGTAAGCATTCTGAGACGTTCACCTAGAATTGTGCATGGGCACTGGCTGGTCTAGCCTGAGAAATAAGCCTTTTTAATGATATTTGAGCAAAATAAACAACATTTATGATACAGAAGTTGTCAGATTTCATTGGTGATTTCAAATATGAAATTTAATAATAAGCTTAGCGAACAGTTTTGGAGAATTTGATGTTTCCCATTCAAAGAGATAGGAGTTGCACTTGCATGCCCGAGAGGCATTTCAAAGATGGCCGCCAAGTGACATGACTTGCCTTAAAGGAAAATAGGCTCATTTTCCAATTCCCCTAGAATTAAACAGTTGAGTTTTACCGTTTTCCAATCCATTAGCATAAGTTAATTAGTAGCACTTTTAGCTTAGCTTAGCATAGATCATTGAATCTGATTAGAACGTTAGCATCTCGCTCAAAAATGACCAAAGACTTTCTATATTTTTCCTATTTAAAACTTGACTCTTCTGTAGTTACATCGTGTACTAAGACTGACGGAAAATGAAAAGTTGCGATTTTCTAGGCCGATATGACTAGGAACTATACTCTCATTCCGGTGTAATAATCATGGAACTTTGCTGCCATACCATGGGTGCAGCAGGCACAATTATATTACACGGCGCCTGAAAATAGGCTTATTGGAAGTTACCTAGCTGGGACTATTTTCAGGCGCTATTTTAAAAAATAGTGGAGTGTTCCTTTAAAGGGACTTTGGCAACATTAAACAGTCTGTGCAAAGAAACATGCCATGTTAGATGCAGCTTCTGCGCCACTTTGGCATTGTAAAGATGGCTTTTGTTATTGTTGATCCTATTTTATTGGTAACAGCCTAAAAGTATTCTAATTTATTGAACTGATTCAGTTGAAGTATTTATTTATTTAAAATTCATAAGTTAATTCTTTAAAAAAAAAATCCTTACAAAGGTTAAAAAAGAGAGACATTTAAATGAAAAAAGAAAAAAAAAATCCAGGATGCAGATATTTCCCCTTAAAGATAAAAGTCAATTTCGTACCCTGCTGGGAACATTCTTTCCAGTCTCAAAATTTTTAAATTAGTCCAAATGTGATCGAAATGTGTTTGTCTTTTAAAGGTTCTGCTTACAGAGATGATGGACAGATGCAAGAAGCTGGGCAACAAGTAAGATCTGCTAACTCTACAGACAGTGCATCTCTATGAACCCTTTCAAGTTCAAAAATGTTTTTAATGCTAGGACAATTTTTAATTGTTCAGATGGCATGAGATAAGTGACCCAAAATGATGAAAAAGCTTGAGACTCATTGTGAATAGTGTTGGTGCCTTTTTGTTGTTTAGTTGGACTTTGTGAGAGGCAGACATTCTTGATAATTAGGGATGCTGACTTAGGGAAGAATCCACATTAGTATTGCTCATACTTCAGCATGTAATTCCTGGATCGGATGTGCTATGCACAGGAATGATGATCTGTTTTGCTGAAAAGAGAGTGACTTGCAAATTTTAGCCTAGCAGATGGACGAAAAATCAAAAAGCCTAAAAAAGGTGAGAAAAAAAAATCCCATTAAGACCAGAATATCTCAGAAACTTGGTGGTGGGCGCTTTTGACCAGTAAACGACCACCCAGAACAAACTAGCTTTGTGGTTGTGACTTTTGCATGTTCGTGCATCTTCAGAAAATGTAAAAATCCAGTACTGAATTCACAGCTGCAGCATTTATGTTTGAATTCGCAATATTCATTAATTTTCCCATAGTGCTCTCTTGCTGAACTCTGTCATGTGGGCATTCCGGGCAGAATTTGTCGCAACGAGAGCAACAGACTTTATTGGCATGATCAAAGACTGTGATGAAGCTGGATTTCCCAAGGTGACAAAACACACATCTACAGTCCACAGACAGGCCAAAAGCTCAGTGACTATGTCATAGTTTATATTCATGTTTGTATTTTTTGCAGCACCTGTTGTTTGCGTCTCTGGGTCGCAGTCTGTCCGTTGCTGACCCTCCAGAGAGTGAGAGACTCTCCATACTCAACGAAGCTTGGAAGGTCATCACTAAAGTGCGCAGTCCAAGGGTAAACACCTCTGTTGGTCTCTGAATGTTTTAAAGCACACGGTATAGAAAGAGAATATGTAGTATGAATTGAGCACAAAATTTAATAAAATGTACTGTGTGTTCTTCAACTCAGGATTACATCAACTGTGCTGAGATCTGGGTGGAGTTTACCTGCCGTCACTTCACAGTGAGTTATCTGTTCTGAATAGCTGAGATTTTTTTTTGCAGAATTTAAAATTCTGTATTTTTTAACATGTTGTTTCAATTTGTTCCCCATAGAAACGGGAGGTGAATACGGTTCTTGCTGACATCATCAAACACATAACTCCAGACAGAGCTTTTGAGGATGCATATCCACAGGTATGTAAGAAACATATAGATGCTGATGTTAGATGGTCTTGATGAAGTCATGGCAATTTATCTTGTTCCTTTGTGTGTTTTAGCTGCAGTCAGTGATAAAGAAGATCCTCACCTACTTCCATGACTTCTCTGTGCTCTTCTCAATGGTATGACTACAGCGAAAACAGGACCTTTAGCAGGGCTGTACTCCATTCAGATTTGAATTGAGGTTGCCAGTTCTTGAATTTGAATCAAACAGAATTGTAAACTGAATTTAAATGGAACTGCTGTTTGAACAGAATGTTTTAATCTATGACAAATGGTCTGTGAAATGGAGAAATAAAACAATAAAAAATATTTTAAAATGACATTTTTACAATTAACTTTGGTCACACTTTGTTTAAAGCTCCAATTTTCGCCATTTACAAACCATTAAATATATAGTTCAGTCATGAAACTCTAGATGGCGCATTCTGACGGGGTGTTAACGCAACTGATGATTTTCAGAGAGTTAAACAACTTGGCACAAGCAGATTGGTTCTTGCTGCATATGCAGCCAATGAGCTTACTGCCTTTCATTTATATGGCTGGCTAGCATTCACTTGAGATTCCTGCAGTGAGCTTTCAGAGTTCTCTGAAAGCCTCCTCCTTCCCCAGCTCCACCTGTATAGATCTGCTACGGGGTTATTTTATATGCTATTTGTGCAGCAGCAGTATGTCTTAAATACTCATGGCACCGTATCGCCATATGCATTGGCAGTAGCAAGTTCCTGTACTTGCTTGCAGCAGCAGCAATAATCAACAACTACAGCAATAACCAACAGCAGCAGCAATTCAGCAGCAGCAGCGCAGCAGATCTGTTCCGCCAAGACCAAATACCATTGTCATTTCCATCACCATGCCAAAATGTTCAGAGAGTTTCATGATTGAACTATGACTTTTGCCTCAATAAACTCCTAATTTGCTGCTAATTAATAGTTAGTAAGGTAGATGTTAAGTTTAAGTATTGGGCAGGATTAGGGATGTAGAATATGGTCATGCAGAATATGTGCTTTATAAATCCTAATAAATAGCCAATATGTTAATAATAGGCATGCTAATAAGCAACTAGTTAATAGTGAGTGTTGGTCCCTATACTAAAGTGTTACCTTAACTTTTTAATATTCTTTGTTGCTGTTGTAGTTTTGGTTACTGTTATTTTGACAGTGCTAAACATAGTTTAGAGAAATAATGCATTCTAAATATTAGGTAATAAATAGGCATAATTATTCAAATTAATTTGACTAATTATTATTTGTTATGTCAGAATGCTAGAGTTTGACTTATGAAATTCTTCCGCCGTGTGTTGAATTTCTTTCAATTTCAATTCATTAAATTCTTCTTATTGTCATTGCAAATCAGATTTAACTTTAACATCCATTTTGGGTCAATACATCACAAATTTCTTCATCAGATTTTGTCCAAAATAAATACTTAGTAATCTCAATAAATATGAGTAGGAATCTCAAATAAAGTAGTATGATCATAAAAAAGCTGATGTGTAATGTTTTGATGATTGCAGGAGAAGTTCTTGCCCTTTCTGGACATGTTCCAGAAAGACAGTGTGAGGGTGGAGGTGTGTAAATCCATCATGGAGGTCTTCATCAAGTATGTTTGTCACTCACTATTCAGTATTAGAACAGCTCCTCCTCTGTGCTGCTAAACAAGTGTTCGGTTAATTCTAGCTCAAGTTACAAGGTTTCTCTCTTAGTTGAGGCTGATGTATTTTCTGTTTAGACACCAGCAGGAACCAACGAGAGATCCAGTCATCCTCAACGCACTGCTGCACGTCTGTAAGACCATGCATGACTCTGTCAAGTGAGTGAGCTGTTTTTTTATAGTGTCTCACCATTAATGCAGAATTAGAGAGTGTTACATTGACGTGTTTGCATGTGGTTTTTGTGTTGTAGTGCTCTAACACTAGATGATGAGAAAAGAGCTCTGTCTCTGCTGATCAATGGATTTATTTGTATGGTGAGTCCCTCTTACAATATATCTGATAATCAATCATCAAAAAACATGGAATTGAAAAGTAGTTGTCTATTTTGAGAGCTCAGCTGACACAAATATGAACTGGAATCATGTTTATTTTAGGGCAGTCAACCCAGAATTTAAAAATATATATATATTTTCTAGTACTCACATACAGCATCATAAATTCATCTAGTTTAATCTCATGAAAATTGCCATATATCAAGAGCTTTGTAATATTTAATAAATACAAATATTATATTTTTAAAAAACTTATGTAATGCAAAAAATTCAATAGTGATATACAGTGCTGTGAACAAGTTTTTGCCCCCTACCTGTTTTTTTATTTTTTGCACATTTGTCACACTTTAATGATTCAGATCATCAAACTAATTTTAATATTACACAAAGATAAACCGAGTAAATACGAAATGCAGTTTTGAAATCATGATTTCATTTATTAAGGGAAAAAAGCTGTCCAAAGCTGCCTGGCACTACGTGAAAAAGTAATTGCCCCCTAAATCCATATAACTGGTTGTGCCACCCCTTGCAGCAACAACTGCAATCAGGCGTTTGCGATAACTGGCAATGAGTCTTTCACATTGATGTAGAGGAATTTTGGCCCACTCTTCTTTGCAGAATTGTTTTAATTTTTCGAGCATGAATGGACTGTTTAAGGTCATGCCACAGCATCTCAGTCGGATTTAAGTCCAAAACCTTAATTTTGTGAGAAATTCAGAAATTCACACCATTCAGAGGTGGACTTGCTGGTGTGTTTGGGATCATTGTCCTGCTGCATAACCCAAGTGCGCTTGAGGTCACAAACTGATGGCCAGATATTCTCCTTCAGGATTTTCTGTTAGAATGCAGAATTCATGCTTCCATCAATTATGGCAAGTCGTCCAGGTCCTGAAGCTGCAAAGCAGCCCCAGACCATCACACTATCACCACCATGTTTGACTGTTGGTACGATGTTCTTTTTCTGAAATGCTGTGTTGGTTTTACGCCAGATGTAACAGGACACACACCTTCCAAAAAGTTCATGTCAGTTCATCAGTCCATGGAATATTTGCCCAAAAGTCTTGGGGATAATCAAGATATTTTTTGGCAAATGTGAGATGAGCCTTTGTGTTATTTTTGGTCAGCAATTGCTTTTGCCTTGGAACTCTCCCATAGATGCCATTTTTGCCCAGTCAAGTCAAGTTTATTTGTACAGCGCTTTTCACGATACAAATCATTGCAAAGCAACTTTACAGCAAATTAAGTTTCTAAAATATTTAGTGGTAGCTTATCAGTGGTGACTGTCAGTTAATGTACATATGGCAGAAATGTACGGAAAATCAATTTAAGACAATAAAACAGACGATGAACACTATTAACAGCAATTATTATATGATGCAATCAAACTTATAGCAAAATGTGGTAGTTCTGTATGTTGTTTCAGGGTTGGCATCATCTGAGGGGTTGGCATCATCTCTTCTCAGGTGTTCTGGATCCAGACTGAAGCTTGTGTAAATCCTAGTTACATCCCATGGCAAAAAACAGAGAAACAAATAAAGACATGATTAGCGTAGCTGCTGTTCCAACCAAGCAAAATTGATTTGTTTAACCCAAACTAAAGAATAATAATGTGCATTTGATTAGATATAACTGCAGTACAAGATTATGAGATGCATTATTTGAATGCTTGGCCAAAGAGATGTGTCTTTAATCTAGATTTAAACAGAGAGAGTGTGTCTGAACCCCGAATGTTATCAGGAAGGCTATTCCAGAAATTGGGAGCCAAATGCGAAAAAGCTCTACCTTCTTTAGTGGACTTTGCTATCCTAGGTACTACCAAAATTCCAGAGTTTTGCGACCTTAGGGAGCGTGATGGATTGTAGCATGGTAGAAGACTAGTTAGACTAGTAGAAGACCCAGTCTCTTTCTTATTGTTGAATCATGAACACTGACCTTAATGGAGGCAAGTGAGGCCTGCAGTTCTTTAGATGTTGTTCTGGGTTCTTTTATGACCTCCTGGATGAGTCGTCATTGCGCTCTTGGAGTAATCCACTCCTGGGAAGGTTCACCACCAAGTTTTCTCTGTTTGTGGATAATAGCTCTGACCGTGGTTTGCTGGAGTCTCAAAACCTTAGAATGGCTTTATAATCCTTTCCAGACTGATACATATCAAATATTTTGTATCTCATCTGTTCTTGAATTTCTTTAGATCGCGGCATGATGTGTTGCTCTTTAAGCATGCTTCACTTTGTCAGACAGGTTGTATTTAAGTGATTTCTTGATTCAACAGGTCTGGCAGTAATCAGGCCTGTGTGTGGCTAGTGAAATTTAACTCAGCTTTCTAAAATAATGTGGTTAATTGCAGTTCTTTCATGAACGAGGAGGGGGCAATTAATTTTTCACGTAGGCATAGGTATGTTTGGACAGCTTTTTTCCCTTAATAAATGAAATCATCATTTAAAAACTGCATTTTGTATTTACTTGCATTATCTTTGTGTAATATTAAAATTTGCTTGATGATCTGAATCTTTTAAGTGTGACATATATGCAAAAAAAAATTTAAAACAGGAAGGGGGCAAAAACCTTTTTACGGCACTGTATCATTTAAACTGTACATTTTATGGTCAGAGTGAGCAACTACAACATAACATATATAGTTTCAATGTTTTTTTTTATATTTTGGTCCTTTTTTATTAGGTGTCATTTGGGAGGGACTTTGAGCAGCAGTTGAGTTTCTGTGTGGAAGCCAGGGCAACTTTCTGTAATCTGGAGCCCGTCATCATTCACCTGATTCATGTGAGCAGCCTGTGTCCTAATGGATGTGTTATGTTTTTATGCCAGGGATTTCCAAATCTTTCTATATGCTTGAAATTCCCCCTTGCGATTGAATATTTCAATAATTTGTAAACACATTTGCATGTTCACGGTTATCTAATGTTGGTAAATGTTCAATATATATATATACACACTGTGTGTGTATACACACACACACACACACAGTATATATAGATATATATGTATATACTGTATATATATATATATATATATATATACAGACACAGACACTGTGTGTGTGTGTGTGTGTATATACTATGTGTTTATATAATAAATGAGTTATAATAATATTTATATAATTCTATGTGTTTGTAATTATATAATATAATGTGTGTATTATATATAACATTATAATATATAATTTGCATATTTTTGTTTTCAGCAAACAACTGTGTTTTCATGTCAGTGTATGTCTTCTCACTTATGCATTTCTATATTGTTTTTGTAGTAAATTTATCTTTTCCACCAAGGTCACTTTGCAGCCTGCATTTCATGCGTTCATGTAGGGGCCTCATGCATTAATAATTTTTGAGGGGGCACGAGTGGGGGGGGGTCATCATGTGACACACAGTAGCCGCAACAGCACTTATGTTTTATTTATTTTTTCCATTTTATTCGAAACATCCCCAAACGCATTAACTATATCATGAAATATCTTGACTCTCACCTTTATAGTTTATGTTGATCTATAGTGAGCAATGGTCAAAGTAACCTAATAATGTAATCTATTATCTATGCATAAAAACCTGTCTGTTTACTTAATTAACAGATATGGATGTCATGCCATAACATATTTTTAATACGTCTGAGTTTATATTTAATGTGAATTTAACATTGAACGTTAATGTGAATAAAAACATTGTAAGTTAGGCTACTAATCATAACACTTTCATTGTAAAGAGAGCAAAGGACATTTACATTATCAAAGAACATTTTCAGACAATCTAGTTCAAGCACTCTCAAAAACTCCCATTAAAATCACTGAAGCTGTTTACACTATGAAATTAATATCTTACAGATTCGTACACACATTTGCACTTTGTTGTTTCTGAGAGAGAATTCGCCAGAAAGAGGTATTCAGTCAGCGAGCAAGTGAAGAAAACACCGGCATTTTAGCGATGACTAATCTGAACACCTCTGATTGGTCATTGCATTCATAAGCTCAACAGCATGGTGTGTGATTGGTTATAATGCAGTGCTGTAAAAACACGTCTGTATCTGGCTCAGCGCCAGCCAGCTAATGCAGATTTGAATTTAGCAGCTGATGATATGACGCACGGAACGTTAATCACGCCGGTGTGATTGTATTAAATATAGAAAAAATGAATCGGCTATTTTTTGTCTTTTGGAAGCTGCATTCAAAATCCACTTGGCTCAAAAATCTGAGGGGGCACGTGCCTCTGCGTTCATGATATGTGTTGACAGAGCTGTAGTATCTGATCAGGGTCATGATAGAGGATTTATTAAAACACATTATTCATATTCATGTGCCTATGGGTTTTATTGTAGTAAGCAGATTGAAATTGCATGCTGTAAAGTCTAACATTAGTCTAATGGAGTGCTGAGGGACTGTCTGTCATGATGATATGAATGTCTCTCTTACAGACAGTGAATCAGTTAGCCATGGAGACCAGACATCACTCACGTAAAACAGCTGCTTTTGTCAGGGTTAGTTTTTTTTTCTGTATCACTTTTACATAATGGTTGAATCGTATGAGGAATTTTTTCAAGTTGTAATTTGTAAATTGTAATTGACAGGCTTCAGGAGATTCCCTCTAATACTATTGGATCCCTGCTTTATCCCATTTTAGCCCATAAGTGACTGAGTTTTTGCTGCCTGTTGTGTGTTTATTTGCAGGCATGTGCTGCCTATGGTTTCATCACCATTCCGTCCCTCACCAGTATCTTCAGCCGTCTCAACCTCTATCTGCTCTCTGGACAGGTAGCACTGGCCAACCAGTGTCTGTCCCAAGGTGAGTGCTGGAGCCTCTCTTAGACTGAAGATGCTCTTATACATCCTTGATCCAGCCTCTCATTGTGAAGGATAATTCAAATACACTACCATTCAAAATAAACCATAATGTTGTTAAATAAAATGTAATTTATTCCTGTGATAGAACAACAGCCATTACTCCAGTTTTCAGTTTCACATAATCCATCAGAAATTATCTTAATATGCTGATTAACTTTTAATATGATCAATATTTTTTTCTTTGCTGTGTAATATTTTTGTGGAAACAGTGATACATTATTTTCAGGATTCTTTGATGAATAGAAAGTGCCTTGCTCTCGGTTGTTGAAGCTGGCTTCCAAATCTTCAATACTTATCTTGCTGGATCTGTCCACTGCTTTTGACACGGTTAACCACTAGATCCTCCTGTCAACCCTATTGGCAAAGCGCATCTCAGGAACGGCCCTCCAGTGGTTTGAGTATTACCTCTCAGATAGGTCCTTCAAGGTATCTTGGAGGAGTGAGGTGTCCAAGCCGCAACATCTAGTTACTGGGGTGCCTCAGGGCTCAGTTCTTGGACCACTTCTCTTCTCTGTCTACATGGCATCACTAGGTTCTGTCTTTTAAAAACATGGCTTTTCTTATCACTGCTATGCTGATGACACTAAACTTTACCTCTCATTCCATCCTGACGATCCTAAGATAGCTGCTTGCATCTCAGCATGTATAACAGACATTTCTTACTGGATGAAAGGACCATCACCTTCAACTCTTCATCACCTTCAAGACAGAACTGCTTGTGGTTTCAACAAATCCATCACAATCTCACCATCCAGCTAGGCGCATCAAGCATAACTCCTTCAAAGACAGCCAGAAATTTGGAGTTGTGATTGATGATCTGCTGAACTTCTCAGACCACACTGCTAAAACTGTCTGCTTCTGCATATTTGCGTTATACAACATTAGGAAGATCAGGCCCTTTCTTTCGTAGTCTTCCAGCCAGGTCTATGAGCCGAAAAGAGTCACACCTCTGTTCATCAATTTGCACTGTCTACCAGTAGCTGCTCGCATAAAATTTGAGGCATTGATGTTTGCCTACAAAACCACCACTGGCTCTGCACCCCTGTACTTGAATTCACTACTTCAGACTTGTGTGCCCTCTAGAAGCTTGCATTCTGCAAATGAATGGCACATTATACTGCCATCCCAAAGACGCACAAAATCACTTTCACAGACTTTTACATTAACTGTTCCCTCCTGGTGGAATCACCTTCCCAACTCAATCCAAGCTGCTGAATCCTTAGCCATCTTCAAGAAACGGCTGAAAACACATATTTTCCATCTTCATTCAACCCTCTAACACTAGCACTCTCTATTCTAATTCTATTTTATCTACTTGGTTTTTTTTATTAAAAAAAAAATCTATTTTCTGTTCTAACTACTTGTTTTATTTAAAAAGAAAAGCAAAACATTAACACTAGCATTCTCTGTCTGTTATACATATTTATTTTCTTTTTATTTATTATAAATAATGACCCTCTAACACTAGCATTCTCTGTTCTTTTTCTATTCGTTTGACTTATTTCTAAAAATTCTATCTGCTTGTTTCTATTCTTTCCATTTGTTTTCTTTTTATTTATTACAATTAAAAAAACTTGCTACGTATACTGCGTTAGGCTAACCGAGAGTTGTCACAGCACTTCCTGTACATATTATTGCTCTTTTGATAGTTTTGATTGCTTCTATAATTCTTTTTGAAATAAATGTCTTTACAGTCATAGTTCATCAATTTAATAATCAATAAAAGTATTAATTTCTTCCAGCTTTTGAAAGGTAGTGTATTGTGGTTTTCCCCAAAATATTAAGCAACAAAAACTGAACATTGCTAATAATAAGAAATATTTTTTGAGCACCAAATCAGCCTATTATAATGTTTTCCAAGGGTTCATGTTTGAAATTGCATTATTTAATACAATTTTACTGTTTCTTTGATCAAATAAATACAGCCTTGATGAACATCAGAGACTTCTTTCCAAAGATCTTAAAGATTCCAAACTTTCAGATGTATGTGTACAAAACTGACCTCATATCAGTGCAAAGAGCACCCTCTGCCATGATCAGCCAAGATTGGGTGTGATGGTATAGATTTGATATGGACTGTGAAAACTTAATTTTAATTTCTGTGTCTATTTCTCAGCGGATGCATTTCTGAAGGCAGCAGTCAGTCTTTTGCCAGAAGTCCCGCGAACCATCAGCATTGAGGGTAAACAGCGATCATCTGAGCCCTTCCTCCTCGACTTCATTAACAACTTCCTCTCCACACTGCTCGTAGTGCCGGTAATACATGCCTAAATATTTGTAGGAGTGTTTTAGCCTCATCTCGCTAATACATATCTAAGTGTGATTGTTGACTTGGTCTCGTAGGATCATCCGGAGCAGGGTGTGCTGTATCTGGTGCGAGGGCTGTTGAATATGGTGCAGGACTACACCTGGGAGGACAACAGTGACGCTAAGATCCGCGTCTACATCAGCGCTTTACCATTACTAGGAGCAATGAGCCAAGAAAGCTATCTTTACACCATTCCTAAAGGTACCACAGTGAATAAATGCAGACATGTTCTATGTAATATTATTGTCTTTCTGACATTGAAGTCTAAATGGAAGCAAGTTTGTTCCTGTTGCAGTGGATTCCAACGAAACCCTCTATGGAGGAGATCCCAAGTTCATCGCAGAGATCAACAAGTTGTGTGAGACTCTGATCGGTCAGGTTCTGGATCATTTAAAGGGGCTGGGCCGAGATGAGGTGAGATACTGTGTCTCTAAAAGTATCTACACCCTTCAGACATGATCATACATTTTTCAATGTCTCAATGCATTAGACAACAAAATGTCAAGGTATAGAAGCTCTTTAAGGTTTTACAAGATAAAACAATAAGTATGGTGTTCAAAATGAAAGTATTGTGACACTTTGTGGTTGTCGACAATGGACATTAGAGGTCAAACGATATTCACCCCCGGGTTTCACAGACAAGGCTTAAGCCTTTAGTCCCCGACTAAAATGTAAGTCTGAGCTGTTTCACCTGAAAGAAACTTGCACTGATTGATCTTGAAATATGTCAGTGCCCTTGTTTTGTCTCCAGATGCACACCAGTAATGTTTTTTCTAAGGCATGTTTATAAAAATTACTTTAAAATCCTAATTGAACTATGGCCTAGTCCTGGTTTAAGCTAAGCCCCGTTTGTGAAACCGGGCCATAGTGTTTGCCGATTAATCAGCACTGATAGTTTATCGGTTATCGGTAAAAATCAGCGGCAAAAGTTGCTGAACGTTTGTTTTTTTCTTTTTTGTTTAATTCATCTGTGTTCTTTGTGGCCAGAGTCTGGGTTCTACATTGGAAGTTTTGGTTCACAGTATGAAAGTGTCCACGGACACTGAAGAAACGAATTAAAAACATTGATAGAGAAGAGTTACAGTACATATTAGTCGTGTTACAATAAACCAAAGTCAATAATCCAAAATGTCTGAATTCACCATTTTAAACAGAAAAAGATGTCACTTCTGATTAGGGATGCAGCGATTAACCGGTTTCGCGATTAACCGCGCTTTAAAAAATCACGGTTAATTAATCGTAAAGGTTCCGCTAAACCGAGTGTTTCTGTTACACGGAACGGAACTGTTGCAGCTTGCACAAAACTAAAAAAGTTACACTAGCGGTGCACCAGCTTAAATTGACGCGAGAGGCACGGAGGCTACTACATGCATTAGATTAACTGTGACAGAGGGGCCAAACAGCGAAGCTTTATTTCCACCAGAGAAATGCTTGTTGATAGTGTGGGACCATTTTGGGTACACCAAGAATGACCAGGGTGTCATTTAAATATTGCTGTAAAAAACTGCTGCTAAAGAGCGAATACATAAGGGATAATGCACGGCTTGCTGTACATTGAACGATTTTAATGCACGACGTGAAATTGTGTCCTCCTGAATGTATGTAGACGTGTGCAGCGCGATCTCCGATCTCACAAACCAAAATAATGGGCATGATTTTCTCAGGCCACATGTAAAATCATATGAATTATTATAAAGATTATTAAAATGAATACGTATGGATGACAGTTGATTACAATATTTCAGTTTATTTCCATCATTAGTAACAGTTTCCCCTGTGGGACAAATA